TCCACTGGGGGTGACTGTGCAAAACTGTAAAAACTGAGGCAAGTCACAGAAATCAAAAATTGTGTCGGCGAAGGGTGATCATTCGAGCCAGACATTCGCTTCAGAATTCAAAAAAAAAAAAAGATTTCAAGTGCGTTTTGGCAGAGGCAAGACGTCATCAAGTGTTTATAGCCCAAGGTTTTCGTGACATAGTGCCGGATAGAAAGGTTGCTGGTTAGAGTGACGCGGAGTCCTTCGGCAGTTGATTCACTCAGGAACCCACCCTCCTTAGGTATAGCTTTTTCCCAAGTTGCTAAGAACCCGTTGATAACATGCTTGTAGCTACGGACGATGAATATTTCGTCGAAATGAGCTTCGCACACAACGCAGTTCTTTTCCAGTGGTTTGTCAGCGCGAGGAATCATACGCTCCCAGGCATTACTGTCGGTGGGAGCAGAGAAGAGAAACGCTTTCTTCCCTTGTTTGCAGGCCGAAGCATATCCCCCATTGCATCCAGGTGCAAAGAAGTGTCTTTGCTGTTTACTTATCACTGTTGCATGGTCACATTGACAAGTATTGACCCTGAAGAGGTCCAAATAGGCAAAGCGCAGACGTTGCGACTTGCGAGCTCACGAGCAAGCGACTAAAAGTACCGCGCTAGCAGCTGGCAAGCGCTTTCGAGCGATCATGGATGGATGGATGGATGGATGTGGCTGTACCCTTTAGATCATGCGGCGGCTAATGTCACCTATAGCCGTAATACTTAGTGAACCACCAACTAGATGTATCTTTTTTTCCCTTTAAATAGTGAAGCATATGACTGGTACTTGGCAGTGAATGGTTCATTTTCACTCGTGCCTTGACTTTAGCAACCAATCAGTTAACCTCCTTCTAGTTAATTCTACCCGCTTAAAGTCTATTGTGCCCTCCCTGTCTCTAAACCCTGCAGTGCTTTGAAAAACTCTGCGCAATCATTCTGTACTATCGGGTGAAGCCCTTTACAGAACATTATCAAGTGTTCGGCAGTTTCCTCTTCCTATCCACACGCACTGCATACCGTGTCTACCCCTTCGTATTTGGCCCGATATGTCTTGGTTTGCAATACTCCTGTCCTGGCCTCAAACAGTAGATAAGTACCCCGAGTATTAGTATACGTCCTTTCCTTGGCAATTTCCTGCTTAAAAGTTCGATAGATCTCTAGTGCGGAGTTCTTAATCATGCCAATTCTCCGCATGTCAGTCTCCGTTTCCTTCACTTTCTTCTTAACCGATAGTTCTTTTTAGGCTGGCCACCTGCTGTTTTCTATGTACTTACCAATCAGTTTCCTGGTTCGCTTCCTCCACTTTGTATCGAGATTCTTATCGACAAGTAGCTGAATACCTTCCTAGCCCAACACTCCTCCCCCTTTTCTGTCAATCGCTTCTCAAATTTTATCTTGCTGCTAGCTTCCCTGCCCTCAAATGATGTCCATCCCATATCACCTTGTACTTCCTGGTTTGGTGTATTCCCGTGAGCTACAAAGGCAAGCCTACCTATTCCACGTTGCTTAATTTCTAATCTTGCTTGATTTTCTGATCTCATGCATAAGACCGCATTGCCGAACGTCGGCCCAGGAACCATGACCCCTTTCCATGTTCCTCTCACAACATCATACCTATTGTAATTCCACAGTTCCCTATTTTTCATCACTGCTGCATTCCTGTTACCTTTAGTCGTCACGTCACGTATATTTCGTGTTCCCTTAGGTACTCGGTCCCATGGCTTATCCATACGCCCAGATATTTGTATTTATCTGTTATCTCTAGCATGACCTCCTGTATTTTAAGCTCACTACCTTCATCATCATTAAAAATCATGACTGCTGATTTTTTCCTTACTGAATCTGAAATCTAACCTATCTCCCTCATTACCGCAGATGTCCACCAATCTCTGCAAATCTTCCTTGTTGTCGGCCATTAGCACTATATCATCTGTATACATCAATGCTGACAGTGCCTGATCAATGAGTTTTCCTTGTTTGAAGAAAGAGAGGTTGAAGCCAAGTCCACTTTCCTCAAATTTGGCCTCTAATCCTTGTAGGTACGTCATGAATAACAAGGGTGACAGAGGACACCCCTACCTAAGCCCCCGTTTCACCTCTTTGGGCTTGGATACCTGTTTTTCCCACTTTATAACCACCTTGTTACTTCTATGAATTTCCTTTAAAAGATTTGTGACTCCATCTTCCACACCTAGTGTGTCCGGTATTCCCCAGTCCTCTTGAACGACGCTATCGTACGCTCCCTTGATATCCAAAAATGCTAGCCACGGAGGCCTGAGTTTCTTTTCTGCTATTTCGATGCACTGCGTCAGTGAGAACAGATTGTCTTCCAACCTCATGTGTTTCCGAAACCCACTCTGCAGTTCCCCCAGTAGCCCCTCATCCTCTATCCATGCCTGCAGTCTTTCCTTTATAATCTGCATCGCCAGCCTGTAGCCCACTGATGTCACTGTTATAGGATGGTAGTTGTTTATGTCAGCTTTAATTGTCCCCCTTTCCTTTATAGATCATGCTCATCCTGCTAAGTTTCCATCCATCGGGGACTTCACCACCGATTATTGTTCTGCTCACTGCCTGTCTCAAAGTCTGTTTAGACTTCGGACCCAATGTCTTTATCAGCATAATGGGAATGCCATCTGGGCCTGTTGATGTACTACTTGGAACCCTCTTCTCAGCTCTTTCCCACTCTCGTTGAGAAAATGGAGCCATTGCGCCACTTGATGCATCCTTGTCTATTGTTGTGCATAAGGCACTTCTTTGTTGAAATTTTTCTGTCACCCTTGTTCTTATATATTCAATAGTTTCGTCACCTTCTAGTCTGGCACCTTGAGCTGTAGTCATAAACCTCTGCTCTAGGCTTGTTTCAATTCTTAGAGATTTTAGATGGTTCCGAAATTTCGCAGCTGCCTTTCTGTCCTTTTTATGTACTTCTGCCAGCGACTGAGCACCCTTTCTTCTAATCTTTTCATTGATCAGGAGGGATGCTTTCCTTCTAGAGCTTAAAAGATGTCCCATTTTCTTTCAACATCATCTGTCGGTTCAACCAGCTGCTTAGCATGACTGTGTTCCCTGGAGGCTTCCTGACGTTATGCTATGGCTCTCTTAACTTTCTCATCCCACCAACTATTGGGCTTGTGTCTTCTTTTCGGGGTGATATGTCACGTTCCTTAGCAAGCTCTATCCCAAACAGTCTAATTAGATTTGTGCATGTCCACACTGTTTTATTATCCACAGTGATTACGTCCTCAACTTGTTTAGTAGCAATTTCTATGTGTTTTTCTGAATGAGAATTTCCCTGTAGTTGCTCATGTTGTCTCCTTCCCACTTTCGATGCCCTTCCGAAACTTAGCTTGATACGTTTGTGATCACTACCCAGGCTTCTAGAGCCACCTTCATGTATGTGCATTCCCCTGAGCTTATCATACATCCTATGTGACATCAGGTCGTAATCTATCGTTGACTGCAGCCTTCCTACCTCCCATGTTATTTGCCCTTCACACTTCTCAGTACTGTTGCACCATCACGGTGCAACAGTACTGAGACACTGTTTTGCACCATCATGGTAGCGACTGTCGCGCTGCTCCACGGCGATATGAAATACCAGCACGCCTCTTTTCAATGCGCGGCCGGGACGATGCTGCCACCCACTTTCCTTCCTCCGTGCTGCCACCTCTCCTTCTAGCCACCATAAGTATATGCTGGCTAAGCTATGTTTGCCGCATTCTAAAGCTCTCGTGGGATTCATTCCGTTCATGTTCGACCCCAAATGCAGACGTTCATTGCATGTTTTCATCGTATACATTCGTAGATTGACAACTAATATTATATCCAGAGGAGTTTGTACTATATTACTACGCATAAATTCAGTGCACGGCTTCTTCGTCCGTCGCCCCGCCGCGGTGGTCTAGTGGCTAAGGTACTCGGCTGCTGACCCGCAGGGCGTGGGTTCGAATCCCGGCTGCGGCGGTTGCATTTTCGATGGAGGCGGAAATGTTGTAGGCCCGTGTGTTCAGATTTGGGTGCACGTTAAAGAACCCCAGGTGGTCTAAATTTCTGAAGCCCTCCACTACGGCGTCTCTCATAATCATATAGTGGTTTTGGGACGTTAAACCCCACATATCAATCAAGCTTCTTCGTCCGAACTGTTTGAGGCATTTGAGCGCTAGAATTGGCGCAGTTGAGCGACAATTGTGGTGGCAATTGGCAACGCTGCGTCAGTCAACAATTTTTCTCACGGAGGAAGGACCTTCGTCACATAATTACAATTGCATGATACAACTATCGACAAGAACGGTGCCGCGCGCGTAACGAAGGAAGTCGAAGCTGTCGCAGTGTGCACACTACGACTCGATATAGCAGTAATATAACAAGAAACTTTAGAGTTTATAGATGCTCATTCGATACCTCAATCTTCCTCATTTTTTATTCGTTCGCCAGCGAGATTTAAAAACTGCAGGCAGTTTCCCCAGGGAATTCTAGCCACCCTACCCAGGAATAACAGCTTCACCGTCGTTTGTTAATACCTGCATTCGGATCATGCGTTGCAGCTTTGCATTTCGTTTTGTTTTGAATGCAGTACGAACACACCCATTCAGAAAGCTTTTCGCGGATGTGTCAGCAATTGAACACAAGACTATCAAGCGCGACGTATGCAAGCGCATGCCACGGGATCGAATCCCGGCCGTGGCGGCTGCATTTTCGGCGAAGTCACTATACTGAGGGGCGTGTACCTAGATCTAGAGCACGTTAAAGCACCCCAGGTGGTCAATTTTCTAAGCACTCCGCGACGGCGTCTTTCATAATCATACGGTGGTTTTGGGGCGTTAAACTCCTGCTAGTACTAATATCAAAGCACAGAATTGCATGAGAAACAAAGTGTGAAGTGACAGCCTATGCTAATGTGGCGCCATCTCACGGCTGTCGATACCAACTGCGGCAGCCACGGCTCCTCCTTGTTCTGTGACACTACCTCATTATCTAGCACACTATAGTTGCGGGACCTGAGGGCTGCCGCCGCCGGTGTGCAGTGTTCTGTGGTGCGCGCTGGTGCAGAGTGTTGCCGTAGGGGCGAGCAACTGTGAAGCGGGCGTGCTAATTGATATGTTCTGTCTTCTGCTGCCTTTTCCCCGCTGTTAGACGCTCGCCATGGTCGGTTTCGTCGCTTGTGGGCCCAACGAAGCTCTTGTCGTGTCTGGTAAGATTTCTGTTTGACCTTCCCCTGCTTGGACGCCCCGCCCCTTCGCGAGCTATTTCCCGCAAAACATCAACAATAGGCCTAGGGTTTGAGCCCGGTTGTCATTGCATGGTTTTTCAATCGTCGCAAAGGCAACCTCAGTGAAACGTCGTTCTTCTATTAGTTGTGAAGTGTGCGGAAAAGTAGTTCTACGTGTGAAGAGGACAAGAGCTGACTCAAACTCGTGTGATGAAGAATAGTGCTTGTATTGCTACTTTTTTTTTCTTTCTTGTAACGACGGCTGGCCTTATTTTCTCTGATTGCGTGCGTATTTCCCCCGAATTGCGGCGCGTGGCTGGTTTCTGGGAAAGCCGCATTTTCATGAGTTTGCTTATTTTAAAGCGCACTTTCAATTGCTCGTTCTGCAAAGTACTGCTGACTGCAGCTGTACCTGACAAGTTGTTTACGTGGATTTGGCACCAACACTTCCTTAACATGCTATCATGATGTAAAGTGTTCTTGAAGCGGAAGCGCTTGTTTTCGTGTTAGTCTTAAGTTCCACATTTTGAGTGCGTAAAACACCCCCCCCCCCCAAAAAAAAAAAAAAAAAAAACGAAGCACGTGGAATTCACTCAGTTGCAAATAAAGAAGACGTTTTGCAACAGGAGAAAAACAAAGTTGTACTTCAGTAGTATAAGTGTGTTCATTTACCTCAAGTGCAACCTAACCGGACAGATTTGTGAATTAAAAATTGAAAGCGGTCAGTAGTAAAGGGATGTGATTGGTTTCTGTCTAGCGAAGTAAAAAATCATTCCAGTTGATAACTGTGTGTTAATTGAGCCTAATAAATGTGTAATGTACGGATATGTGTGCTTATGTTTTTTCCGTAACAATATCTGTGCATTACAATGTCTGTTGGCTCTATTCAATATTTGTCAAACGAATTGCATATGCTTTATGACAGTGCTACATTCAACTTGGCTGCATATCAACCTAGCTGAATATTCAACAAGGTTCATTATTAAGAGGTTTAACTTGCATAAGTAATCTAATGAGAATATGATTTTGTTTCGTCTGTAGTAACAAAAATTATGAACAGAAGCAGTAGCTTTTGCTTAACAGCTTGATATAAAAAAAAAGGGTTACCATAAAAGACTTCTTTAAGGAAGAAAACAAATCCTGAGCCCGAGATGTAGCTTTTTTGCCACATTCCATCTGGGTTGAAATCTTGCATGATTGCTCCAAGGAAGCACTTCATTTCTTGTTTACCAGTTATCATTTGGGGCCAGATTGCTGGTGCAATAACTCTTCTTATCACTACAGGTTGCATTCTTGAGAATATGCCCGAGAACGCCTCAATGCAGGAACATGGTGGGATATGTGTAATTATTCATTTGTATATAATAGGATTCATCACCTAAATAAACTCATCTTGGCCAAAGTATATGAAACATCCTGTACATAAACCTATACCCTTTTTCTGAAAGAAGCCTAAAAAGAAAAAGCCACTTATGTCACTTACCAAATTTGTTAATACTTTGTTCACTAGTTCTGTGAACCTGCTGTCAAAGCTCAGTTGCTGCAATGGTTCACTTCCAAGCTTAATGTCATGGGCTCGATTCCAGCCACAATGGCTTCTTTCCAATGTGAACGAAATTCAAAACCACTTGTGTACTAGGCACTAATCGGGAACATGTTAAAAAATCCTGTTCGTCCTGAATCGGGGTAACCAACTGTCCCGCAACTCATGGGACTGCGCCGCATTGAGGGCTATTGTCCTGATTCACGTAAGAGATAAGAAAATCGTCGAAATTTCTCGCGTTGTTTGGCAGAGCGTTGTCCAGATGCTACTAGCATTTATGGAAACTAAGCCACAGTTTCTAAGGGTGACATTATTGGAACACTTTTTTATGATATTGTCATCCAATTTTCAGGAAAAAACAATTCATTGCGAAAACTGTTAGAGGGCATATGTGTCAATAACGTTTCTGGTTAGCACTCAGCTTCATCTGTCACGATGGCCGTATTGTGCATAGCTGCCCTTTTCAGTATATGGGACTAGAGATGCAAAGGGCGAAAGAAAACCGGGAAATTCTGGAAAAGGCTTTTCGTTTATTTTTGGCACAGTTGGAAAAATTGGCCAAAATATCTGTGGATTAAGATCTAAAGAAATAAACCTTAAGCAACAGCCAGCGTTGAACGTGAGACCAACACGTCTCACATGATACCAAAACACCAAATGACGGCTGACTACTTGCCATCGGCATCACGTAAAGTCAGCGTCGGCTTAGCTTGAGTCTATAGCATAGCTTCGTTTTTCGGGTGTGGTGATGTTGGGGGTGGCTTCTGATGTTTCGGTGCTTGTTATTGTTCAATTTTAACTTGTACATTTTTGCGACCTGTGGCCGAAGTCCACACAAAAAGCCGTGTGCAAGCAGATTCTGCAATGGTAGGGCTAATTTCTGACGTGTGGATGCACTTCACTGTCGGGAGATTGTCGGCGAGAAACGGAGACTCTTTGTCTGTAAGCACTACAACAGCAGCTACGCTTTCCCTAATACGGCATCTTAACATGACAAAGAAAGCTACAAATGAAGACAGTGATACTGACTCTGAATAAGAGTTTGAACTTTGTCTTTTTATCATCTTGAACAATGGTTTCATAATTAAAGCCACGACGCACTAGACATTTCTGGGTTCTTTGTTCCACCTTCTGGAAAAATTTTAGGAAGCTGCACCCATTCACAGAGAGCTAAATGAGTTCATGGTGATGCTTCTGACCTGCCTTCAATCAGTTAAATGCTGTATTCGTTTGTGAAAAACGAGAAAACATTTCATTTGTTATATACATGATAAACGATAATGCTCTTGGTACCTGGCGATAAACTATTACCGTACGATAAAGAAAATTTGTTGTTTTCCAATTTTTCCAAAATTTTGGGAAAAAGAGCAAAAAAAGTTTTTTTTTTACTATTGCTCAAAATTTTGGGAAAATTTGCATTAGATACAATTAGAAAAAAGGCAACTGGGCGGGGCGATTGCCTGCAAATTATGCAAGGCTAGATCCGGCGGCTACCTACAATATCTTAACCTAACCTAACTTACTCATTCTAATCAGTGCAGTGCAGAGAGTTATTTTACTTACCGTGCAAATTGCAAGTGATGACGGATCTGGTGCTGAATATCAGTCTTTACATGTATGATGTCTTCTAGTAGGCAGTGAGAGGGGTGTAGTGTGACGTCAACTTCCTTCCGACTACCTTTGAATTATCAGTGCACAAACTTATGCAGTGTCGTCATCTAAATTGCTTCATATGTTAATGCATCTAAAAATCTAAAAAATGCTTCACATGTTAATGCAAGCAGGAAGTAGCTATCACTCACTTTCCTTTTATTTGATTAGTCACGCTGTCAGTCAGTGCATGTCGATGCAATCATGACATACCAATGCCTACCTGTGCTGTCCAGCCTATTTCATTCTCTTAATTTCCCTATCATGATCAGGGTCTTCTGTGAATGATTGACCTAGTTGCCTGACCCTTATACAAGCTATAGTAGCTGACTGCCAGTCACTAATTCAAAAAATGGACACGGCAAACATAAATGTAGACCAGAAGAGAAGTAGGCGAAAAACAGTGCTTTTGTTATGCCTACTTTTCTTCCTCTTGTCAACATTTGATTTTACACTATTCTCTTTTTTTCCCACCACGTATCTATATCAAATAGTACAACTGCTTGCTCCTAATCACCGATTTTTTCTTGCCAGTCATTACATTAAGTTTCAGTAGATTAATCATTATACCTACAGTCATGTCTGACGTTGGAGCAGCCAAGCGAACAGTTGGCATCTTCACCTTGAAATTTCAGTTTCACTATTCAGGTTCATTCAGAGTCCTTTTCTTAAGACTTCTCAGCAGGAAGTGAATAGAACTTGACTGGTATTGCTGCGTTACGCTTTTCTTGATCACCATTTTTCAGCTTGTCCCATCAAAAGCTAATGTATCTTTGAAAACTTTCTTTCAAATTGTATGCCAAGATATGCATTTTTTCTTTACGCTTAACTGCATGAATATTACTCGGAATGGGCAAAATATGTGACCCTCTGTGAAATGTGAGCTTGAGCAACTGCTCTTGAAACACCTTGGTTCTGCAAGCTCAGATGCCTTTCCTGTTGACCTTTGAAGGGGTTTTTTGGGCATTTTTTTCTTTTGGTTGTGTGAAATATTTTGACAAGGTCACGTCTGCTCTGCTCTTACCCCCAACAGGGTGCTGCCATGCCCACCCACTGTTGGTTCCTGGGGGCAGGGTCTTTGTTTGGCCCATTATCCAGAGAGTGCAAAAGTAAGTGATGGATGAAGCAGTTAACAGGTTTTGAAGCTTCGTCGTGTTTACTGCCTCTGTTTCTTTTGTGTAGAATGTCTCTCCACTAGAGCCGAGTGCTCTTCCTTGTGCCACTCACTTTTCAATAGTTTTCCTAATTGTTTATAACGTGAAAAGTTTTGTCTCCTTTTTGTGGGAAAAGATTGTAGAATGTTTTGTCAGGTAAATGTAATTAAAAATGTACTGTAGAAAGATAAAATGACTACACTGCTTCTTGTTCTCGTGTGATCTATTGGCAACAAACGGGAGACCACAAATTGATTGTTGTATTTTCGAGCAAGTGCACTCTCTTGATTCATTTACAGTACTGCTTGCTCATCAACTGGCTTGACGGCCAATGCCTTCTGGCAGCATGAATTGATGACATCAGCAAGAGCAGTGCATGCATCAAACTTACTTGTACTGCATGCTTTGTATGCTAGGCTCTTCCAACCAGCATGGCACTGCCCCTGGCATTAGTAAATTGTTGTAAGCTTGCCGTCTTATTGGAAATAGCAAGTGTCTGTACCGTACCCGTGGCTTGCACATTTTTCTTGTGGCGTGTGATGCTTCAGCATGCATGCACAGGAAAACAATGAAGAAAGGTGTAAAGCTGCAGTACAGATGTATTTTAGGGATGGTGTTTCTAAAAACACATTCGGGTGCATGCGCACTTGCTGTCTTTGATGAGCAGAAAACCTTTCCAAAATTTAACCGTGACTGTCGGGGTCATGCCTTCGGTAAAATTCAAGTGTAGAAAAATTGTGCTACAAGTGAACTTGATGCGCATGTGCACAGAGTTCTTGTCTATTTGTGCCATCTTGCCACGTGTGCACCAAGATAACGGCGCTTCACACCACTAGAGGTTATTGCCTGGCAGTCAATACTCGCTTGGTATTGTTAAAAAGTCTGAAACGTGTACATTTAGATAACCCCGTGCATAGCTGCACCTACCCTGAATGCTTGAATAATACTTGCATAGTGAAGCTTCATGAACCTTCACTTGGCCTAAATATTGACCCTGATTATGGCCGAGGCCTGCATTTGAAAGGGATAAGTATGTATATACTTTGTACAAGTGAATGTGCAGGAACAGGGTGGCTCTTTTGTGTGCAGGTATGCACAATGCATTTTCAAACTCTAGTTTCCGTTGCCTAATTCAGACCTGTATACGTAAATACCTACGACAGAGCAGTAGTAGTGAACATTTATTTTAACAGTTTTAACATAGTTTTGATATAAGACCCAATACTCAATTAAGATACTCTCATGACCTGGTCATCAGTATAGTTGGTTTAGTAGCTCCTCGGGTCATCTGTGCCACTCTTTCACAGGTATCGTCAATGTCACAAATAAACATGTTCACATGGAGCATAATCGTATAGTGTTTAGGTGCCTATCTTCACAAATGTTGCCTTGGTGTCTGGTTGCTCGTGTCAGGGGTGTAGCAAGTGAAGCTTTTTTTAGAGGAGGTGTGTCTTCAACAGTGAAGGGTGTGCTTAGTGAGCATGTGGGATATGTTGTTTTATGCTAGGTAACCTATAGCATACCATCATTTTGCAAGGGGCATATGACCAGTGAGGCATCTCACTGTTGCCTCTGCACCCATATTGTTTCATTCCACCCCTGTATAGGGCCCTGGTTCAACAAGCACATTCCTGAATGGTTGTAAGTTCTTAGAGTTCAACCATTGTGGTGGAATGCGAGTTTTTTATTATAATTTTGAATTTGCATCTTGGTGTAATGCCAAGATTGATCATATTTACAGACAGTAGCACTAATTACACATGATTCTGGAGCATTTACAGATACATTCTGTGGTTTCCAGATGCAGGCTTGTTTATTGAACCGTAACTAAAACGTTTTGAATGTCAAGTCCTTTAAATGGTTACAATATGTGGGTTCTACAAATTGGCCGCATTTAGCTTAAGCCATTGTAATTATATAACACTATTTAAGGAGTATTACTAGCCCACATTGCACATTAAAATGCATACCTGGGCATTCCTTAGGAAGAAATATTTTCAAATATTTTCTTTCTACTGATATTCATTGTCCCGCGAACTTCTATTCCCATCAGTACTTTCAGTGCTGTGCTGTACTACCTATACATATCTATATTTGCGATGCTGAGTCATTCTTATTTATGTTTGTAGGATAAGCCTGAATACTATGACATTGACCATCGAAAGCCCCAAGGTATACACACAACAGGGTGTTCCTATATCAGTCACAGGCATAGCGCAGGTGAGCAGCCTTTTTAGTTTTTCTTAATTGTTCTGTGATCATTATAGCTGTGGGTGGTTATGTTGAACCAGTTTCTATAGTAGGCAGTTGTCAAGATGTGGCAGCCTTACCTGCAAATTGCTCCATCTGTATACCTTAGATGTCAAAAGTAAACCCCCCCCCCCCCCCCACAGGGGCGTCTGCATAAACAGGTGTTTGGTATATGGCGACACCATGAACCAAGGGGGTTTCAACTCTCTCCCACGCTTAGCCATGTGTGGCATTGCTGTGTCCGGAGAAAAGGGGTTCTGGGGGTGGAGCCGATGCTGGGTGTGTGAACCTGTCTCACGCAGCACACATGCATGTCTTCTATGAGGTAAGGATCCACCCAAACCACCCAAGTGTGAGAGGTGCAGAGAACCACTAACTGTGGTCCACATCCTTATCGAGTGCATTGATGTACACGCGATCGGGAGAAAATGCTTTCTACTACCCCATGGACTGCAAATGCCATTGTATCCACCGATATTCATAGTTAGGGACCTGCTTTTTTAGGTGAGAGGACATATCGTGGCGCCACCACGCGGACGCATGCCAGTGACGTGCGTGGTTTGAGTGACGCTTCCTCCATTCTTTAGAGCGTGTTCAATTCTCTTCATGTTGCACCTTCTTACATTGGATACCTTATGCTTAATAATGAACTTTGAAAGCTCTGCCAGTTCTATTTTGTCTGTTGTATTTGAGGCTTTCATGCTTTGACATTTTTTTAATGACATTCTTTGTCTCCTGGGACAGCTTGCAACTGTCCTGTCTAACTATTGTACCTCTGGCTTCTACTGCACACTCTGTTATGATACTCGTCAGATTATCATTCATTGGGTGAAGGCTAAGGCTGGTTTTCTCGATAAGAGCCGAGTATCTGTTCTGAAGCGAGACTCTGAATTTTTGTAATTTCCCTCTCAGTGCTAGCTTATTGATTGGCTTCTTGCGTATCAGTTTCTGTCGTTCTTTCTTCAAGTCTAGGCCAATTCGAGACCTTGCCATTTTATGGCCACTGCATCTTACATTGCCAAGCACTTCCACATCCTGCACAATGCCAGGTGGGCACTCTCTATAAATTGTATTTCGTTCTTACTTTCGCCCTTAGGGCTCCTTCATGTCCACTTACGGTTCCCTCGTTTTCGGTAGGTGTTCAAGGTCTATAAATTATTGTGTTCTGCGAATCATACTAATAACTCCCCTCTGGCATTTCTAGTACCGATGCCATGATCTACTGTCCGGTCTCCAGCCTGCTCCCTACCTTGCCACTGAAGTCGCTCATCAGAGTGGTATGCTTTGTTTTTACCTTACTCATTGCCAGTTCCACCTCCTCATAGAATCGGCAATGAGTCCCTGATTCTACAAAGTGCTAAATAACTGCTCTGGAAAAGTTTTACGCTTCTCGTAATGCCTGACTGCCGGCGTCGTCTGCTATGGCCACATATGAAAACCACAGGGGCTGAGCACGCTGCCTTTGTAAAAGGTAACGACTGATTTCGTGTTGAATTGAAGCATAAAATGGTTATTAACGCGTGCTTGCGGCAAATACTTATTTTTGCTGAAACGAAATGCGTGAAACCACGCTACTTTATTCATTGTAGGTTTGCTTCTGAAGACGGGCCGCGGGACTCTCCAATAGTGGAAAACCTTACAAACTTTAGGAACATATAGTCGCAAGGCGAGATTTCACGCTAATAACCGAGACGGAAAGTTGGCAGAAGTTTGTATCGGGCATCACGTCATATACACATGAGGTTTAAGTGCGGAACGGGGTCAGTAAGGTAATAAGACAAGTATATTCTCTCTCTAGTAAACACACAAGGCGACAGCTTGGAAGACCAGGCGAACTCCCTGGGCAAACACTTCCAACAGGTGTCCAGCTCGTTGCTTTACTCTGAAGCCTTCCGATGCTACTAAACAAGAATATAAAAACAGAAACTAAAGTGCGAATGTACAAAATACAAAGGCGCACAATGATGCTTTTTTTTTTTTTGCCTGAGCTACGGGCATCTCCATACTACTGCAATAAATCTGCCCAAGTTCCTACTTGGCGCTTTGGAATATATTAAGAAACCTGTCCCACTTTGGTGGTGTGCATGGGGGAATGTTTACCAGGATCGAAAGTTACTTGTCCAGTCGGACATTCTTTGTTCGAGTAGGCAGAGCTTTGTCCCCAAACTTTGACCAAGAAACAGGAGTGCCGCAAGGTTTTGTACTTAGTTGTACACATTTTATTGTTAAAATGAACTTTTTGCGTCTTTGCATCCCACGAAATATGTTTTATTGCTCATATGGTCGACGATGTGCAAGTGTGCTCAAAATCATGCGTACTTGCAATGTCAGTGGCAAATCTAGTTAGGTCCGAACAAAATCGCAAAATGGGCAGACAAGAAGTTTACACATTTTATTGTTAAAATGAATTTTTTGCGTCTTTGCATCCCACGAAATATGTTTTATTGCTCATATGGTCGGAGCCCTCCACTACGGCGTCTCTCATAATCATATAGTGGTTTTGGGACGTTAAACCCCACTTATCAATCAATCAATTGCTCATATGGTCGACGATGTGCAAGTGTGCTCAAAATCATGCGTACTTGCAATGTCAGTGGCAAATCTAGTTAGGTCCGAACAAAATCGCAAAATGGGCAGACAAGAATGGTTTCAGTTTTAATGCGCAGAAAAGCAGCTGCATCCTGTTCTTCTGGAAGCGAGGCCTTCATCCTGATCGAGATATTGACCTGCATGGTCAACATCTCTTCGTGAAAATGGAGAACAAAGTCTTAGGCCTGATACTGGATAGTAATCTATCGTTCATATCACACATTATATATTTTTAAATTAAGTGCATAAAAACAATGAATGCTCTAAAAGTTTTTTTCATGCACTATGTGAGGCACTGACAAGAAGTGTCTGATAGATCTGCATAAAAACCTCATACGCACTCACTTAGGCCACGGGGCTATAATCTATCAGTCTGTAACACCAAGGGCCTGACAGATGCTTCATCCTGTCCACCATGTAGGCATTTGCCCATCTAAAAGCGCCTTTCGTCTTAGCTCCGTAGAAAGCCTCTATGTTGAATCGAGTGACTTGTCACTTCATCTGCAGATATCCTACTCTTTATTTGTACGTTTTCTCAAGACGAACATGAAGAGAAACATCTATCACACTCCACTGTCGATCATTTGTCCACTTCTACTCTTTGTATAACCATCCTTCGGTGCGAGAGCCCTATGTACTCTGTGTGAGGGGCCTAACTGAGAAAATGCGTGTGCCTATTCTAGAACACCTTTTGGTGACCCCCGCTGCCAACCTCCCGCTATGGCAGTGACAGTCCATAGACTGATGTGTTCTTCTTCATGGAAGTTGCAAAACATGCCTTTCTTGCTTATATTTATACATACTTCAGCCAGATGGCAAGTTGGGCCAGTTGGATTATGTTCATGGACATCGAGTAAGCACTGTCTTTGTCAGCCTAATCTGTCCGTGTTTTCAGTGCGCTTCAACGAAATTCCAATCATACCTACTTCCTAGAACAGCAGCACAAGTATACCGTAAAAACCGGACTTTAAAAAAAAATGCGATGAAACTAAAAAAAAAATGCGATGAGAACTCTACTCTCTTATTATATACCGGTCATTTGCAGAAAGAAATGTGGAAGTCTCGCTACAATGGGCTGCTGAAGTCAAAACCTCCATTGCCAATGTGAGCGTCAGTAGGGGTGCTGTTGGGCAAGGCTAGGTAGTGTTACTGTATATGCTACCTAGCATATGCAGCAACTCTAAGTAAGGTAACATATACTGTAACTCTAAGGCTAGGCAAGGTCTACAGCACAGTGTACAAGCAGTGCCATTTTGCTTTGGTTATCCTTGTCAGTCTGCTGTTTTCTTTTTTCTTTTCAGAAATTAGTGGTAGTCGATGGCAGTTTACGATAGGCTTTAAGAAAAAAGTTAGAGTATGCCAAAGCGCACGGCAACCTGGCAGCACAACAAGAATTCGATGCATCGAAGAAAAGTGTCCAATACTGGAAGAGCCAAAAGTAGTGCATCACATCCTGCAGCGAAAAAAAAAAAATCGTTTCGGAGACCGATTGCAGTGTACCCCGAACTGGAAACTCTACTCGCCGAATTCATCCGAGAGCTATGTACAAGGTCGCTACCTGTGACAGCGGAGTGCATCTGCGTGAAAGCTATCAAAATGGTGCGTGACTCTGGGCTCACGAGGGTGCAATTCAAGAGCTTGCCATCGTGGGTGCGCTGATTTATGAAGCGGCAGGGCTTTGCACTGAGGTAGCATACTTCCGTGTGCCAAAAACTTCCCGAAGAATCGGATAAGCTGGTCGAGTATCAGGGCTTCGTCATCGGGCTTCGTCAACAGCAATGCTACATGATGGGACACATGGGCAACATTGACGAAACTCCGATATGTATGTTTGATATGGCTTTGAACAGGACTGTGGCCACTAAAGGATTCAAGCAAGTGAAGCTCTTGACAACTGGCAAAGAGCATTCGCGATTTACAGTGATGCTCGCGTGCACAGCCGAAGGAAAGCAGCGCCTTCTTTATATCATATTTAAGAGAAAAGGGCTACCAAAAGAAGGCTTTCCCCAAGATGTTATCGTGAGGGCGAACGAAAAAAAATACCAGGCCTGTGCGGAAAGCGCAGCACAATCACAGTGAAAGATAGAAGAGTGGCCTTTCAGAGCTTTTTCAAAACACTAATTGAGAAACTATACTGCAAGCATACTTGCTTGACACCCGCCTGGGCATTAATAATAAATCTTTTGGGGTAGTGATGTAACCGAGGGTTCTGCCCAGAGGACCGGAGCCAGCCAGAGTCTCGGGGAGATGTTGAGGAGAGGAGCCCGGAGCTGTTAACAGTAACTTTTAATTACATTATATACAGGTAGCGTGTTACATGATGGTGGTAACATCATGGAAGCTCTCCGCGGAAGCATGATGGGAGCTTCTGGGTGCTTGTGAGAACCTGTCGGGAGCGCCACGTTTCTCGCATTTTATGTCCTGGCCTTCTCAGGATTACCTGCGGGAAAAAGTAACGGAGGCCAGGACAGTCTAATAAGTTTTGCCATCTTCATCTCCGCCCTCGAAAGGAGGTGAAACGGCCCCTCCTTCTCAACCCATGAAAAGGGAAGAGGCACGCTCAGTTCAGCCCATGGAGAGAAAGAAAACACTGCACAATGCGCACGACACAGCACAGCAGGAAGGCGTTGAGTCTTGTGTGGAAGTCAATTTCGTAGTCCTTTGCAGTGATGGGTATGTGGCGCCAGGCAGACCGCAAATTGTGGAAACAATTCCCGTGGAGAACGCGGGAAAGGCATTCGCAGATGGTTCTGAGATGCTGGGCCCTTTGCCCGGGGCACCTAGACGACAAAGCAAGATGCCTCGACGGCCAACAACTCTTCCTTATTTGTCAGTCGGTCGGGCGTGTCCAGAGGGTTTACGAGGGATGCCGACGACCTGGGATAACTAGAAGAATGATTCCTCTGTTGTCACCGCTCTTGGTGCATCTCTGGGAGCGCTGACTCGGAAGAAATCAGGGTAGGCTCAGCCACCATGTCTGGTGCGTCAAAGCGCCATCAAGCCAGGCAGGCCGATCGTAACAGTAGTAAGCCGGCATTCACAATGCTATTTTTCGTCGTTCTGAGAAGTGTGGCATCTGCTAAACACTTGCAAGGAATTTTCTGCCAATTGTTCATGCAGTGACTGGAAACGATGAGGAATTATGGCTGAAGTGGGTATGCGTCACAGTTAATAGGAGAAAAAGAACAAGCTTTTGTAATGGGTTGGAGCATTTGACAGCCTACTCGTTACACTATTCGCATTGTGCGATGACTGCTTATTCTTTCTCAGTTTTAAAACGCTTTATAAGTCATATTAACGCGATTGCTTTCCCGACATCAAGCCTGCTTAAGGCAAGTTTGCCAACAATCACAAGCAATGGCTATCCACCTGAAAAATATTTACGACGAGCTAGACTTTAGACCCGACTGGTACTCTGTCTTAGAGAACTGTTTGACCTCACCCCTTTGTTTGTATAACACTATGTGAAGAACTCTTCATCTGAGGAACTCACACTGTGTTAGCCATTTAGTGTTTATGAGTAACGCTTGAGTGCTTACTTTGGCGATTTGATTGTACTTTTGTTTGCTTGATTTTGTCTTTATTGCACAAGTACTTTATTAAATACCATGAAAAAAAAACGGCATAGCTCAGTGCTAGAATAATACTGGGCTGGCACCCAGCGGGGCCGGGTTCAAGCCCCACTGTGTCATTGGTGCTAGGTTTTTTTTTTTTTTGATTTTGCGCGATGTGGTTACAGACACCGGCAGCGGCGGACAGCTGCGCATGACCGGAGTTGTGATCTCATAACAGCTTTCGCTGTAAAAGGGTTTCATGATTGAGTCCCTCATGCTTGAGTGTTTCGAGCTCGTGTGGAATTGGCGACCCGGTGCGCTTTTTCAGTGACAAAGCATGTTGGTGCTCAACTCATTTCGAAGCCACCTCATGGCCGATGTAAAGTTTCCGATGGAGGCGGAAATGTTGTAGGCCCGTGTACTCAGATTTGGGTGCACGTTAAAGAACCCCAGGTGGTCAAAATTTCCGGAGCCCTCCACTACGGCGTCTCTCATAATCAAATAGTGGTTTTGAGACGTTAAACCCCACAAATCAATGGCCGATGTAAAGGGAGCTCGGTCCTCTTGAGATCATGACAAGGTCCGTCTTGCCATCGGACAAACATCAATCCTCCAGCCACTGGACGTAGTGCTCAATAAACCCTTCAAAGATTGCGTGGAGCTCTTTAATGAGTGGATTCTGGGCGACAAAACCCAAGGCCCCCGCTGGCTGCCTACGACATCCACCGCTCGCGCCTGTTTTTGGCTAGGTGTCGTCAGTTTGGAAATCTGTCCCTGAAAAGATAGTTTGCAAGTCTTTCCGCAAATGCTGCATTAGCAACGCACTGAATGGAATGGAGGACGAAGCACTCTGGGACGCAACTACTGAGAAACATATGTCAGCACTTTGTGGCCTTTTGGCATTTAAATACATGAGATTAAGGTTGAAATTAGAAGAAAGGTCACCACAGTAGAGCTGGTTTTGTCACATATTTATCGCGGTAAGGGTGCGCCCCATTAATTTGCTATTTTTTAAAATATTTTTCAGAGATTCAGTTGGAGGGGTTGACTTATATTTCAGTCCAACATATCTTCCGGTTTTTACGGTACCTGTCCTCTTTCACATTATATACCGAAGCAAACTGTAGCACGCCCTCTGAAAAGAGGTTGTTGCTATGGTAACTACATTACAGAATGCACCTACCCCCCTGCTTTTGGTGTCGAAGGCCTTGAGAGGCATTCGTGCTCTTTTATCGTCTCTCACTTGTAAATACTATGCTCGTTTGGAATTCACTCCACACCCATAGAGTACACCATGCATAACTTCCATAATTCTCTTTTTGCTACCTTTAACACTTATACATAGCACATGATTTTAGGCCTCTATACAACCGTAATACACCATCATTGCAACCATTTGTCATCGGTAATATCACATAAAAGACATGGCACTCTTTGGCTACCTATGGTCCTTGTGCCACAAAACCCTACTAATCATCATTATTCTGAGATCAATGTGCTGACCCCTTTGGATAAATTAAAGCCTTCTAACATACAAGTGCCTTAGGTTATAGCACAAAAAAATTTCAGTGAATATCAGTGAATACTTTTAAGTAGAAAAATTTGTCTGTTTACACTGCTGGTGTTTGATGGCTAAAGAAGTGCTACTAGTGTGATATTAACTTTTTTTTGGTGGTAAATGAAGGCCCAGACTCTGTAAACTTCTTGAAAAAAAGATATTTAATGGACCTGGAGATAATTACTTGGTATCTTTTCCACATCTGATTGCAGTTTTGCTTTTATTGTGTTATGGCATGTGATATGGAAAGCAGTCACATGAGGGCAGGACACCGCAATACTTTGGCACATGTTCTAGCTTGCACTACATCAGCCATAAAATTAACAGGCAAAAAACATAATAGTTACCTGCTCCCCCGAGACCTGGGAGCTTTGCTTCTTTTCACAATAAAAATAATGACCATTCCGTACCTTCATTGAAATTTTGTCACTTTCCTGTTCCAGGTGGTTTTGGTGTGATGTAAGAGTGGTCGTGCTTCATGTGCACTGGGTGTGATGAGATTCGACATCGACCTTAAAATTCAATGATGGGTATTTGTGATTTCTTTGTGGTTTCTAAAAAATTGGGTGGGCCATAAATTATCATGCATTACAACATTCCAATATAAACAGCTGCCCTCAAGTTAACAATTGAGAAATCATTTGATAAGTTTTTGTTACCTAGTCACAGCAGTAACATTTCAGCTGTGACAGTGTTTCTCCCCTCGTGGAGATCATGTGTGAAAGTGACTGGAACCTTGCTGTCATAACATTTTTTTAAGTATGTATTCTAAACAAGAGGTTGGTGTTCTCGTTTATTGCAGTAGGAGAGGTAGGGGAATGTACTCATTTAAAAACGATCAACCTTAGCTCTGTTGTAGTTAGATACTTCGATTTCTTGGTGAAACAGGTAAAGATTCAGGGCCAAAATGTGGAGATGCTGCGAGCAGCATGTGAGCAATTCTTGGGCAAGAAGGATGAGGAGGTTATGCACATTGCACGTGAGACCCTTGAGGGGCATCAGCGTGCTATCATGGGCACCATGAGTGTTGAGGTGAGTGTTGGTTTTCCTCACTCTCTGAAGGCCTTTGCAAGTTTCATGTGACTGTGACATTGGAATATTTAATGGTTTAAGGCATTCTAGCAAATAGCACCACTGTACACCATCGCAGCAGTTTGTTGAGAATGCCATTAGTGGTGAGACATGGGACTGTGGGTTTTCTTTTCAACATGGTATATACCAGCAACACAACCATAAAGGTTAGTTTTCATTGAGGTTGCAATCTGTGGCTGTGGAGCAGTGGTTATGGTGTTTTGCTGCTGATGCACAGGTCATCCATTAGATACCGGCTGCAGCGGTCGCATTTCAATAAAGGCGAAACGCTATAGACCTGTGTGGCATGTGATGTGAGTAAAGAACACCAGATGGTAAAAAATTTCCATAGCCCCTACGACGTGTTTCATAAATGTATCTCAGTTTTGGCTTATAAAACCCCAGATATTGTTTCGTTGAAATTGTGTCTTACTACAAAAAAAGAAACCCTGAAATAACCTCCTTTTAACTAATGGGAACAAAAATATGTGGGCTTTTCTGCTTTGCCACATTGTGGAAATGCATAGTAGATATTGGTAACATTCTTGTACTACATTGCATCATAAGGATTAATCCTTACCAAACCTGGTACTGTTAATTTTGGCAGATTGAATGGAGGTTTGGTATATATTGTGTAAGTTTTCGTCGCAGGGCTATTTTAAAGGGGCCCTGCAACACTTTTTCAGCATGGTCTGAAAACGCTGCCAATCGGCAGTAGATGCTCCAGACTACACGCAAGCCAAATATAGCGCAGCTTGTGGCCTGGAATTCACAATAAATTATCATGGTCAGTTAAAACTTGCTTTCTTTTCTCTCGACAAATCACGAAATATGCCCGAAAATCGCACGTGAATTACCCATCTATCAGCCATTGGCCGATTTGAGCATGAGGCCCTCGCGTGTTAGAGATCGCCGCGGGAGGCCGGTACTTGTCCACGCGTGCGCGTGTGATCACACTGAAAAAGCGGCGCATTAGAAGACAAAAGAAAAAAAGTGCACAAGGTCACGAAACGCGTGTGACGTTTTTCTGCGGCCCGGCCATCCCTGCCTGCTTAGCTTCCAGCGCTTTCGTCTGGTCAAGAGGGAATGCAATTGCACCATTTGACAAACCTTTGTAACTCCACTTGCACTGGACGGACTCTTAAAATTTTTGCGGCGTTGAATTCGTGAGGCAATAAGCTTTTCCAGTGAATTCATTCCATGGTTACTTGAAAAAGCGTTTCAGGGCCCCTTTAAGTGGCTTACATCTGTATGCCAGTGAGCTTGTACAAGCTGGTCATTCTTAATCTCAGGAGATCTACAAAGACCGCAAGAAGTTCTCCAAGCAGGTGTTTGAGGTGGCCTCATCCGACCTCGTCAACATGGGCATCACAGTGGTATCCTACACCATCAAGGACATCAGCGATGACGAGGTATACTACATATCTTTGAATTTAAAATGTTTGGGTCTATCTAAAGAGCTGAAAAAAATTTCTTGGGCTGCAACACAGATACGTAAGAATACCGATAAAGGTCATATTATGCAAGAAATATTTTGACATTTATGGTCAGCACTCCTAAAGCAATTAAAAATATTTGTGATAAATAGGCTGTCAGAATTGCTGTGGATTTACCATGATATAGCAATATGAACTGACAGGCCAGCTACCTGATCATGCGTTCAACCACTGTGGCATCATGCCAAAGACTATGGGTTGACGTGACAGTGCAATAAAGTCAGTGCTGTTTGCCAGTCAGTCGAGTGTCCATGGAGGCCTTAATTTATGGCATTCTGATTTATGTGTACGATATGTGTTGAATGTGTTTTAAAGAGGAGGTATGAATTACCTTCTTCCTGGTTAAAGGTTTTTGTTTTGATGAACAGTCAAGAAGATAGATGTAAAAACAAACTGCTTGTAAAGTGCACGGACTACAAGCTACTCTGTTTACTGCAGTACTGCTTAAAGTGTATGTGGCTTGCAGAAGAAACCTGAAAAGTTGGTTGCCACAATCATGCCTCGCCTTGGTGGTCTAATGGCTAAAGTACTTAGATGATCCCGGCTGCATTTTCGATGGAAGTGAAAATGCTGTAGGCCTGTGTGCTCAAATTTGGGTGCACGTTCAAGAACCCCAGGTGGTCAAAATATACGAAGCCCTCCACTACCGCACCTCTCCTAATCATGTGGCGGTTTTGGGACGTTAAACCCCTCATATCAATCGTGCCACAGTCACACAAGGTAACACATTGTACTGAGACTAAGAAACCTTATGCACACACCCTTAAAACAAGCTCATACATGTGGTACAGCAAGTGTCCCAGAAATGGCAGCATAAGCTTTGTAGGCAATATGAGGCAATTAGTTACAGCGACTATCAGACCCACGCAGCTATGGTTGCCACATTTAAACAAAGTGGCACTGGATTTGCTCAGTAGCACATTGCTTTACAGTCGATCACACGTACATCTGGAACTCTTAATACCATGTTCCCTGTCATAGTTTTGAAATGCGTCTTGGTCTTGCTGCTATAGCTAAACCTCATTATAATGGAATTGGAGGGGCCTCACCTGCAATTCGCTTATTATAACCAGTATTTTGTTAGTATAGCCGCAGCGTGCATTTACTGCAAATGTTGCTCACTCTACTACTTACCCCCCCAAGATAGGAGGCAAAATAGCATCTTTTTATGTGGCGGTGCACAACAAAATTACCACATTCCAGACTAAATAGGAAACCACAAAGAACAAGGGCCATAACTTCGGCCCTTGAAAAAAGGTTTACTTATAGTGTGGCACCGCTTATTTCTTTTGTTACCATACCTATTCAAGTCGATCACTTGTGAGGAATGCTTTGGATCGTCGATTTTGGCATGTGGAATTGATTTCTGGTGCATCCAGCACTTTCTAGTTGTTAGTCCTGCCACTCAACTTTCAGAATCAATTTGAATTTGCCCGTTTTGGCAACACAGTGATTTTTTGTGGGCTTTTGTGCGTACCAATGTGCATGTGTTGTTGGAAATATGCACTTGGCAAGAGAATTTGACAGAAGTGCATGCCCCTCGTGCTTATGCTGCAGTACCATCAAAGTTCTGTAATCAAAGGAGCCTTGGCAAGTCAAATATCAAATTTATTCTACAAAAATATATTTCTGATAGGCCACTGCATGTATAAAGTTTGGAGGTGGCTTTCTCAACCAGTTTTCAGCAGCTTTGGTTAAGCTTGTATCGTAACATCAGACACAGGGCCGCATCTAGTGTAATTAGTCGCTCTTATGGCCCCGTCGTCACACGCACATAGGTGCATACTTGCGCCACAAAAACACGCGCAGCTCGAAACTGTCTTGCAACTGCGCCTGAATTGATTGAGGACGAGCTTAGAGTCCGAGGATGACAGCATCTCAGTTTCAAGTTTTATGGCAATGATGTTATGCGTCAGCCTGAGATATCTACAGCCGTTCATGTGTTTGTTTTGTTCAAGGCCTCCTATGCAAGTTGTCTCCTCCTATGCAAGTGCGTAGCTGCTGACCTTTGTGCACAATCGTATGGCTAATCTGGTTACGTGCAAGGTCCACACGACGCTGAAGCACGGTGTGCTGGCGCCGGCTATAGAGCTCCTCACGACAAGAAGGCCACTCAAGCACATCTTGGCTCTCGCTACGAACAGTGCAAAACGTTTTAGAACTGCACGTTAATTTTTATGATATGCTTTGCAAATATGCAAAGAAATATGCTTTGATGCATATATTGAAATGCCAGCCTATGCAGAGTGAGGTGACTCGTGGAAAGAGGCGAGGATAGATGAAATAATGAAGTTCATTGGACGTATGATTTCTCGAGGGATCCTTCACATCACAGGCATCTATCTACAGTAGACTCCACGAAACTCTCTTAGTTGAAATTGCTGCTTAAATGGAACAACTGCCACTAATATGTTTGGTTTCCTACTTGGATATTGTACCCTTGTTTATCTCTCAGTAGACGAAACTCTTCTTAAAGGAAACACATTTTCCTGGTACCTTCAGGTTTCATTTAAAAGGAGTCTACTGTATATTGTAACACCGGCAGGCTGTTATCGCACAAAAATAAAGAAAAAAAATCAATGAGGAAAGTGTACGAGTTTGTGTCTCACGAAAACCGAAGCAATGCCTCGCTGCATGGAATGAGCAATGAAGCAGTGTCTTTGTTGCTATTTTCTTTGTCTGCGTGCTTAGAAACATTTTGTACAAGATTTATTATTTTTTATGCTATTCCTGGGTCATTTACCTTGAAAATGTATATGGAGCTTTTTCTTTGTTTTGAATATTATGGCATATATAGTTTTTTTTTTGAATGGCAGTGTTTACCAGCTGGCAACCAAAAATTACACACTTTTTTTTTTCTTTTTACATTTTTATTCGCCCCGTCGTGGTGGTCTAGTGGCTAAGGTACTCGGCTGCTGACCCGCAGGTCGCGGGTGCAAATCCCGGCTGCATTTCCGATGGAGGCGGAAATGTTGTAGGCTTGTGTGCTCAGATTTGGGTGCACGTTAAAGAACCCCAGGTGGTCCAAATTTCCGGAGCCCTCCACTACGGCGTCTCTCATAATCATATAGTGGTTTTGGGACGTTAAACCCACATATCAATCAATCAATTACATTTTTATTCATTCCAAAATACTTTTATTGCTCTACAAGACATATTTTTTGAAAAGAGCATTTCATTGTGCAACATTTGGTATCCTGCAATGTGTGTTGGGGTAATTTTCAAACTCGCAAGAACTATTTTCCCGAGACATATGAAAAATGACCATTTTTTTGTGGGAATGAAAGAGTTGTAGTGCAGATGCTCACGACTCCTGTGACTTGCATTATAAGTGGTCAATACTTTATATAATTCTCAATACTTCAATATATTAGATGAAATTATATCTGACCACGAAGGTATACAAATTCAATAACTTCATATACTAGATGTCTGTCTGGAAGGTTTGAATGCAGAAACATGTTTATACACAAGCACAAATGCTTAAGTACAAAACTCCTACGTTTGTTGATACTAGTAGTACAATGTTGGAGCTTGCTGTAACAGAAGCAAGCATAATTTAAGAGGTTGCTGCCTCTGAGTGAGGTGTGCTCATTTTGATTTACAATTCTCAGTTTTGAAAGTGCCCTTTGAAAGTTGGGAATGCGCTTTCGAAATTGAAGTTGATCAGATGAGTCTGAATTGCTGAAAAGTTTAGCAGCGAGTGTTTATTGGATTTTTTCGAATTTATCTAAAAGCACGGAGCTCTAGTTATATCCCATAACAGGCAAGTTTCACCTTTTTAAAACAAGGCTTTATTTACATTGGTTTCTGTGGGGGCTTTCAAGGAAAATAAATAAAATTGATTTGGTCTTTGAACAAAAAAAGGCTTTGTTCTTCATGATGATTGCATAGTTATGCCCATGAACTGGCATGGTAACCACACCGAAGGTGAATACCTCTTTTGTGCTCAAGTTGGTAAAACTAGTCTTTTCTACTTCATGAGGGGAATGTTCATTGTATGATGTCCAATCATAAGGTTGATAAACACTATACAAATTTCCTGAATTATGTATTGAACATCAGCTTTATTGAGGCCTTGAATACTAATGAGGTGTTCCCCTTAGATATGGGTGACAGTGTACATGTCAACTAGGTTTGTTATTACATTGCGTTTGGCGACTAGCGTTCACCGTGTTTAGAAGTTTATTGCTGGGGGTGTATTGCTGTGTCAGCTTTTTGGCAACTGTCATCACGTGCAGCTACTTAAGGTCAGCATATTTATTGGTTTGAATTGAGTAAATGCCATACTTTACATATCATAACCTTAGTAGATATTACTGAGCATGTGTTTACAAAATTCTATTCTAATTTGTGGAAACCTTTCTTGAAGCTGTTCAGGTAAGGTAAGAGTTCAAGTTAGTAATTATTATGCATGTGTCAATAGTAAGTTTTAGATTCAAAGGGAATTCGGAGTGAATCATGATTTGGTCAAATTTCGAATCAAATTTGTATAGTAGTACTGTATGTCCTGTATTATAAAAAAAATGAAGCATATGTATTTGTCATCACCTAACTTGTTCAATATTATATATATCTTTAATTGGAACAAAGCATGTGCATTGGAAGAAGACATTGCCACAAGGCATGTCAAGAATATCCGTTCAAAGTAAAGTGTAAGCAACTTTAAATGGTAGCAGGATTTGACTTTTGGCAGAATGCAAGTGGTAACCTCTATAATATGTTCCGTTTCAAGATTTACTATAAGAGCTTACTAGCTATTGTTACAACCTTTGAAACTTAAAAAAACGGTCAATTGATTTGAGGGTAATATGTTCATTGAAACTTGAGGAGGGGCTTTGCGGCATAAAATTTATATTTGTGCATAAAGTTTATAAGCAATAACGTATGGTCTCAGTGTTTCACGAAAGGAAATGTTAGAACAATCCGGCTCATCGCTGCTTTAGCAGACATATTGACAGGCTGGTATAGTATTTGGGGAGGGAGGAGGAAAGTGTCTGGAAATTTATTGGGGGGTGTTTATTGCTGCGTCAGCCTATTAACATCTGTCATCACCTCCAGCCACTTTCGGTCAGCTGGTTTCTTGGTTGGAACAGCTTTGATGGCATACTTTGCACATGATAGCCTTAGTAGACATCACAGAGCACAGGTTTGCAAAATATTAGTACAATTTTCATGCTCCTTCTTGTAGCCTTAAAATAAAAGTGTGCAAGTTGTTAATTATGAAAAATAAATGCAGCATTTATGCATAAAGCTTTTACAAAATATTGTATCGTCTGTGTTATCTGTGTTTCAAAATGTAAATGCTAAAACATTCCTTCTTTGTCTGCTTTAGTAAGCAGACATATCGACAAGCGGACATTTGTTTTATAATTCATCACTATAATCAATAAATACTCTAATGCAGTTTTTTAAGGGAAGCTGGTATTATTTAAGAATTCGGTAAAGCTTTTTGGGCAAGAAATAGACATTTGTAAACTATTTAATAATTATTTCTGTGGTTTTTACAACAGGTGCTTTAGAATGCGCAAAAAAAAAAGTTTGTCTTGCTCCGCCTATGCAAGTGTGCTGGAAGTGGTGGCATGTAAACAAACTAACTGGAGCTATGTCATCTTCAATTTTATTGGCCTAATTACGTTGCACTCAGATGGAAGGTTCCCACCACTCACTGATCTGAACGGACTACAAGAGCACTGTTTATGTACTCGAGGCCCTAGCAAATATAGCTAATAAAAATTCCACAGCTGGGCTGTAATATGTGTCATAACTATAAATAGCTGTGCACAATTTGGAAATAGTCAGTCATATCTTCAACAGCAGTCTCATATTAAATTCAGCTGCACATTGCTGCCAAAGCCAATTTCAAAGGCCATGCTTCAACAGGGGCTGCTGTTGCAGACTATTCGGAATACTGAAGATATCACTGTATTCACTCAGCATCTCAAGAAGCTGTGCCGCCACAGTGTCTGCTTTCTGGGTGGAAAAAAAGTTATATGCAATAACTGTTCAGATTTCTCGTAGGTATTTCAATTCAGCAGGGCTCAAACTGATTGTACACTCCAAAGCACTTTTTCAAGTGCTTCAACTTTTCTTTGAATTATTAGTGTTGACATTTGGTAACTCTGCAGTTGCCTTTTTTTTTTTCCAGGGCTATTTGAGGGCATTGGGTATGGCCAGAACGGCGGAGGTCAAGCGAGACGCCCGCATTGGAGAAGCCGAAGCGCAGAGGGACTCTCAAATCAAGGTAATATCCTATCTCTTAATTATAGAGTGTCACTACTTTGATTGCTTCTGAAAGAGCTTTGTCAAATAAGAGATTAGTAAATTTCAAAAGGGAACATACAACTTTGTGCAGTGACTTGCACTTGTGTCATAATTTGCATTGCACACACATCTACAAGCTCCATGAACATGAACATCAGTGACTTACTTTTTGTGCCTTCTATGAAAATAAGATCAACCTAGTGAAACCTGAATATAATAGCTTTTAACCTAATGAAATTATAGATGTAATAAATTATTTTGATTTTATAATCTGTCTGGATTATTTCTTTCTGCTAATATATTAAAACCTCATAACAACAATGGCGAGTATTTTTGTCTGTTGTAAAAGGAGTATGTTAAATTCAAGTACTGTTACAACAGACTTTTATGTAAACACTCAAAAGGTCTGTCACAACCAAAAATATTTACTAATCCAAAACAGATTTACTCTCAGCAGGGGCATAAAAAATTCGTTTGGTTTCAAAAATTATTCGTTGCAAAAATGAGGTTGTAAAAGTTATTGTGGAAGTCATAAAAATAAAAAAAAAGTCATTTTTCAAAAAATTATAGCTCCAAATTGGCACAATCGTCGAAAATCGTGCTACTTAGTGACGTTCTTGCACTCGTTCTGTGTTTGCGAGATGCGATAAGGCCGTTGCAAAAGGGAGCTCATTTATCAGATTGAGATAGCGTGCAGAATTTATCGCGAACATCGCAGACGTGCCTCTCGGGCCCACTGTGATCATTGATACATGGGGTTTAACTTCCCGAAACCACCATATGATTATGAGAGACGCCGTAGTGGGGGGCTTGGGAAAATTCGACCACCTGGGGTTCTTTATTTAATGTGAACACAAACCTGAGCACATGGGGGGCCCAACTGTAGTGTCTCGTTGCACCCGCTGCTTATCAGCACTCAGACCTTAGGACGAAAACCACTGCAGGACAACTGTTTAGACTCGCAATCGGGCATGATGTATTTGAAACATCGAGCACTGCGACCACACACATTGCAACCGAGGTTTCTGCTCAGTCGTGGCTAGGCCTAACCTTGCTCCGAACTTTGCGGGCAAAATTTTGTGAGCGGACATGCGAAAGCTATGAAGCCATATTGCGCTTCATCGAAAGCGGCGAATTACATGGCCTACTAGCTCATCAAAACCGCGGGTGGGCATATTGCACATCGACTGTGGACCCCCCGGACTTGCTCAGTACGCAGTGACCACTCAGAGCAGCGGCTAAAACCAAGCTTGCTGCGCACCGTTTTTTTTTTTTGTTTTCGTCACTTTGGTTAGGCACAACTGACATTTAATTGACCAAAGATAGATGGCCTTTGTTTTTCAATCGATACATCGATACCCGCGGTGCACCATTGATGTCCCGAAAGTATGCCGATATGAAGTTATTGAATTTGGGGCGTCAGCGGTAGAAAAGTCCACTATAAAGGAGTCTTGACCGCCTTGCTCGCCTTGCATTTTATTCAATTAAATCCGAATGTCCGTTGTACCAGAATCTGTAGTAAACGAAGCTCAATCAGTGGAACGAATAAGGTGGTCTGCATGACGACGTCAATTGGCATGTTGTATCCAAAAGACTGTTGTAAGCAGATACATTGTGTCTCTGTGTCTGCTAGATTAGCAAGAAGTTTGAAGGAAAGCCTTTAAGCAGTAAAAACAGAATGTACGATTCAACCTGGATATAATGAAATTGATGAATTCCCAGAAAAATTCGTTATAAAGAGGATTTCGTTATTTGCAGGTTCCGCCCAAAAATTCGAAAAATAAATGCTCATATAAACAAAAAGGGGACAGTAGACAGAGCTAACCAAAAACACTTATTTGATGAAAAACACTTATTTGATGAAAAACACTTATTTGACGAAAAACACTTATTTGACGAAAAACACTTTTTTGACCAAAAACAGTTATTTGACAGTAAAAAACTGCTTTATTATTGTGATGGCAATTGTATGGACACTCTCTGCCGTCGCCGCCCTGTTCCATAACATGCCCCCGCGCATCTTAACTTTCACGAGGAGGTAAAAGCGCGCGAGCGCTGCTGAAGCAGAGATCCCATATCGCCTGGAAACTGCATAACATCTCCCGCGTGTTAGAACTGCCATCGAATGCTCAAGCAGAAAGTAAATTGCCCATCTTGAACGAGCACTTCTCACTGGAGCAGCCGTGTTTGCTCACACCAGCGTTTTGTACGAGTTCCGTGATATCGGATACAAAAGAATTGGCTGCAGGCCTTATTTCTTATAACATTACAGTTTTTTGCTATCGCATCCATAGCATTGCATTCAACGCGCTGTCATGTTGCCAGAACTAATCGGCTAATCGCGAAAGCTACCAGACTGCGAACTCGCGGTGCGGCGCAAGATGGGAGCGCCTTACGAGCCGACCTCCAAAGATCTGTCGTCACTGTGGTCATGCAGAGTTTCCATTAGAACATAATCTGACATTCCCGTGGGGTGAGGACACGGTTGTGCAAAATTAAGAAAAGTCACAGTTTTGCCGCAAGGGCGAAGCAATTAATGCGATGGCGACAACTTGGAATATAACGCTGAGAACGGCATACAGATCGAAACATGCAGCGCGCCACTCATGCACGAATAACGCACGAAAACGGCATACACAGGATGAGAACGAACTAACAGCATTTATCGCTCGATACTTAACGCACATTTTAAACAAAAACGAGGCACAAAATGTAATCACAGGTGCAGATATGAGTGCGAACTAACAAGTGCCTCAGTTAATTTTGTTGCTGCGCTGTGTTTGAAAAGCGCACTTTTCGCAAACGGCGCCTGCCCAGCGAGTGAAGAGATATTTGTGCGCCCAGTAACTAAACGCAGTCATTTCGGTCTAAGTTGAAGGCGCGCGATTTTCTACACTGAAGGATATGTGCGCGCATGCACAAGCATCTAACGCCCCCACCCCACTCTAACTCTTCAGGCAAAGTACGTGTCTGTGCATCGTGACGAGCTGCAGAGTGCCGAGCGCGGGCGCCTTTTTTTTTTTCTTGAGTTTGCTTATATATGTATATATATGTATATGTGTATATATATATATATATACACACACACACACACGCACACACACACACACGCACACACACATACACACATGCACACACACACGGTGAATGGTGGCGGTGGCAAAAAAACAAAATTCAGCCGAGACTGTCCATATATTTGCTATAGCAATAAGAAAAAAAAAAAACCTGAACGTCCTCGGGGCCACACCATGCGCGCGCAGTGAAACTGCACGCGCGCGTGGCATCAAAAATTAACGATCGACACAGGCACAGACACGGATACCACTATTCGTTAAAGCGCCCTCCATAGGCAACGCGGCCCCACATTGTGATGCTAACTAAAAGCGTGGACGCGCAAAAGTGTTTTTCTTTTTTTTTTGTTTTGATTTTGGTTTTAAGAGTTGGGGGGAGGAGAAGGTGGGCACACCCGCGTATGTGCCCGCGGCGGCGAGAATGGCGGCCACGCCGGTTCGTGTGGTGCAGGCCCGCCTGGCGCACACCCATGCGCAATAACAAGTGCTCGCTCTCGCCTAGTGCGCCGTGCGCACCGCCCGCCGCAGAAGATGCACGCTTGTACCAAAATGCCAAAATGTGGAGCGAAATACCTAGATTGTCTGTGGGGAAAATTCGTTATATCAAGGTTGTCTCCCACTGTTACTTTGTTACATAGACGTTGCAAATACATGTGCTTCTATGGAGCAACAGCTGGGAATTGAAAAACTTCGTTATATTGAGGAATTCATTATATGGAGGTTCGTTATAAGCAGGTTTAACTGTGGTGCCTTTGCTGCTTTTAACAGCATTAAAATGTCAGTAATAGATTGCACTCTCCACTTTTTAGTAAAGCATAACAGCAGCACTCATCAGGAAGCTTTAGATGAACCCGACTAACAGGCAACAGATTCACAATAGTATTGAATCAGGCCTAGCTGGTGAGCATTCCTTGGTGCTAACTCACTGAGCTAGTAGGACAGCCATGTGCAGTAGAAACTTCACCAGCCCCTACAACTTTTTTCATTTACTCTGTCTCTCTGTGTATCCTTGGACTCTGGCAGATTTCCATGTGTACGGTAGTACTACACCAAAGTACTTCCCTTGCATAAATCAGGCATAAATCAGGCGATAAACAATTTCTAGTTCCAAGCCAATATTCCTTGTACCTTATTCTTGCAAGAAGCTAAAACACATTATTCAAAACATATAATCGAATTCCTTAACTCTAATAATAATATTCTATCATCAGCTCAGCATGCTTTCTATTGTGCTTGTAGTACTCTAACAGAATTATACTCAATTTTATGCATGACGCTACTTATAACTTAGACCTTGGTAACCAAATAGATGCCATTTTCATTAATTTCTTAAAAACTTGTGATAATGTCATTCATTCAAAGCTATTGTTAAAACTAAACGTCATTCTCGATAACCCTTGTATTGTTTCTTGGATAGCCAGTTTCCTTCATTAATGCTGACAGTTCGTTTCTTTCAGCTGGACAGATTCATCTATTTACGTTACCTGTAGTGTTCTGGGATCTTTTCTAGGCCCTTTATTATTTTAACTTTTACAGCGAAAGCTGTTATGAGATCACTTTTCGGGTCACGCACAGTTGCATGCTGTCCGCCGTCTCCGCTGGTGTTCATTACCACATCGCGCGAAATAGGAAAAAAAAAAAAACCTTGCACCAATGACACAGTGGGGCTTGAACCCGGGTCCGCTGGGTGCCAGTTCAATATTCTACCTCCGAGTTACGCTGGTGCTTGTAATTTGTTGTTAAACTTTCCTTGGGCAAGCATGACCTAGCACCAATGGCACAGTGGTGCTTGAACCCTGGTCCCATGGGTGCCAGCCCGGTATTTTACCACTGAGCTACACCAGTGCTTGTGACTTGTTGTCAAAGTTGGCTTAGGCAGGTTTGATGTCGGGAAAGCAATCGAGTTGAT